TTGAGCTTTGTAACTTTGCAGATCTTTTTTATGCTCAAACAGCAACATTACAGACTAACTAAAGTTGAAAAAGTAAAAAAGCATAATAGGACCCCTTTAAAAATGAAAATTATATAACCAATTTGTTTCACATTCTTTATTGGAAAAGAAAGAATCACTACAACTTCTGAAAGTGACCAGCAGTGTTTTCGCAGTACATAAAAAGTAATGTCACAAATCAGAAAATGCAATTTTAACATCAATGTGAACATACAAAAAAAAATTATAATAATAAAATAATGATACTAATTTTATATCAATGTGATTTTTTCTATACACTTTAAGTACTTCTTCATATACCACAGCAAAAACTATAGTCTAAGAAAGTTCAAACATGATTAAAGGCAAGTGAACAGTCAGTTAAAAAAAAAAGAAAGAAAGAAAAAAAGGACAAATACACAATTTACAAGCATAGATAAAACAGCAGCACGTATTTATAGGCTGATGTCCCTTTAAATCCGACTGCACGGATTCAGTATAATGATACACATCCGATTTCTTTCTCAGCTGTTTACATTAATTTAAAACATAACCGACTGCGTTTGCAAGAATGATCGTTGAGACGGGTATTTTGACAATTCTGTGTGTGTGTCTGTTCAAACATGAGGAGCTGCGAAAGACAAATCAACTCTGTGTTCGCGTGCTGTATGAAAAACGTCTCTGTGTTTGTGCGCGTGCTTTGCACCTGTACGGCGGAATGGAAGAGACGCTGTGCAAGATGTGTCATGTGTGTGCGCTTCAGGTGTCTCAGACAGCAAGACGAGACGGCAAAGAGTTGTTTTCTGCAACTTATTGCACTCATTTCTTACGTTATCACAAACTTACCATTGACAGAAATAGTCAGCTCTACTGCCTTTCCTTTTTTATTTAAATCTTTATTACAAGCAATCCTGCCGTTCATAAAGAGCTGTTTTTCTACCTCCACGAGTGCCATTCCATTTCGTGTCAATCCATGTTAACTGCCTTTTCTTTTGCATTTAAATCTTTATTACAAGCAATCCTGCGTTTCATGAACTTTAATTAAGAACTTTAAGAACTTTACAATTATTGCCTTGTTTATCTAAATGTGCTCTTTTCCTTTAAACCTAGCCAAAAAGCCATATGTGTTGACTGTGAAACACAGTAGACTTTAATAATATGCATTTATAGTGTAATTACTACATTTTCGTGTCAATCCATGTTCATATTTACTGCAAACAATGCGGTGCTACTTTAATTCATCACGTGCAGCGCAGCAAACATAGACTCTGTGCGGAAACAATCTCTGCACTGCTGCAGACGCACCACTACTGAACGCACTGCCGGACCGCAACCGTGTGCAGTGTGAACGCTTTATTAATCCGTTAACATGAGCACGGAAAAAATACGCACTGCATACGCACTGTAAACTGAGTATGCGAGTGTGCATGAACGCACGGTCTTCAGGAGAGCACGCGAGCGCTGAATAGTTAAACACTGGCAAGAATGAAAAAGTAATGCAATTTATAAACCTTAGTGACGATGTGACACTGCCTCGATTGTACAAGTGACAATTCCTGTGTCAACTGTGCAGCTCGCTTATAGACAG